CAGTCTGCTGATCAAATCCGCAGATGATACTAAAACTGGGGCAGTGGCCACAACTGAGGAGCAGGTACTCCAGACACAAAAGGATCTGGACAGACTGTGGAAGTGGGCAGGAGACAACAGGATGGCGTTCAAGGTGGATAAGTGCAAGGTCTTGCACTTGGGGCATAGGAATGGGTGTCATAAGGACAGTTGGGGGACAAGTGGCTGGAGAGCAGCACTTGTGAAAGGGACCTCGGGGTGCTGGTGGACTGCAGGCTGAACGTGAGCCAGCAGTGCGATGTGGTGGCCAAGAGGGCGAACGCCACCCTTGGTTGCATAGCCAGAAGTGTGGCTTCTAGATCAAGAGAGGTATTACTACCACTCTATACAACTCTGGTGCACCCGCAACTGGAGTATTGTGCTCAGTTTTGGGCCCCTCATTACAGGAAGGATATAGCCAGGTTGGAGTCAGTGCAGCGCAGGGCCACAAGGATGGTGGTCGGTTTGCAGGGGATGCCGTATGAGGCGAGACTGAGGGAACTGGGCCTCTTCGGCCTGGAGAAGAGGAGACTCAGAGGGGATCTGTTGGTGACATACAGGTATGTGAGGGGATGTCACAGGAGGGCAAGAGGGGCTCCAACAGAGCAAAGTTCAGGGAACCAGGGTTCAATCTGGATGCCCGGAAGCACTTCCTGACAGTCAGGACCCCCAGGGTGTGGAATGGGCTTCCACGGGAGATGGTTGAGGCCCCATTGGTGCGGGGGTTCAAAGATAGGCTGGACGTGTACATGGTGGGCATGTCGTGAGCGGAGCCGACTGGAGCCGGGGGTCAGACTAGATGGCCCAGGTGGTCCGTTCTGACTCGCTCTGTTTCTATAACGTATTAGCCGATATCACTGCTGAACTGGGCTAGTGCAAGGATCTATTTTTCACTCACCAGATAAAGGTGTTTCGTGCAGAAGGCAGCCTGATGGCACTGACTGAATGGAGCAACGCATACATCCTGTTCCGCATCTGCCTTGTACCAAGTAAGGGGTGTCTAGGCCAGTACAGTCGGCACTGACAGGCAGCAACTCTCCCAGTTCTAGGAAAGCTACTTTCCTAGCCCTACCTAGATATTTGGGGGTTTGGCCTTTGGCAAAGCAGGACTTGCACCCTTCAACCTTTACACAACAATCCAAATTGCATAACACTGCACACAATTAAAACCACTTGGACTTCTAAGTGACAAATAGAGGATGAGTGTGAGTGAGAAGGCACACACTTCAACCCAAAACGCACACACTTTAGGAGTACTAGATGTAGCCACATCTGGACACCAAAGATGTCCCACCACCATCCTATTAGGCAATGTGGGTCTGATGAACCCACTGAGAGGTTTTCAGATGCGGCTGCCTGACCGGTCAACGTCTTTTGCAACTTAGGTTGCAGTCTAAGAACATGAGGGTCAGGCCGGTCCAACAGTCCATCTAGAATAAACACCTAGATACACGTTGCAAAGCTTAAAAAAAAAACCTTATACCACTTGAGAGTCATACAGGCAAATTGCAAGGATATCTGATGTTGGCAAATGTACGCACTTGTTTGAATAGATCAAAATAAGCAAGGAACTGGAAAAGGCAAACATTTGCAACATCGGTACAAAACAAAAATGCACAGAGGTCCTGCCTCTACCATCTCATGACTCTAAGTCTTGGTGCCAAAGGGAGGCACCTCCACCGTATGCCAGTACGGCATTTTTTTAAAATCTAAAAGTTGCTCCCACCTACCTGGCCAACTTTTGGCCTTAAGTCCAAATACGCAAAATGGTTGCAGTTTTCACTGGACAGCAAAGGCACTCTGCACATGCTCAAGGGCACAGCCTCCTGCGCTGATTGTCAGCCATTTTATGGCAGAGACCCGCAGCGCTGGGGCAGGTGGTGGAGCTGAGCTCTGGCTCAAATCGAATATGGTCCCTGTAAGTGGCAGAGGCAAGCTTAAAAACCCGCTAATCCCCACCACCCCTTAGATTTGTTAGTATGTATCGTTCCTGTTTTAAGTATAAGTGTATGCATTTATTTAAGTGTCAGAATAAAATGCTAAAACCCCCCCAAACCTCTATTTTCCTCCGGGCGAGGGGAGAAAAAGGAATGGTTTTTAAAATTAAGACTCACAAGAGCACACCTCCCGCCCCTCAAATGGCCCAGGGGCTGCACTTCCCGCAACAAGTTGGGGGGCACAGACCGCACCTCAAGCCTTGCCCCCCCCCTCACCCGCCCCCCACCTCACTCACCAGCTTCATGCTTTACCCGGCTCTATTTAGAGCGGACCATCTCCGGCTCTTCCTGGCCTAACCCTGCCCCGGGGCATCCTGGGACGTGTAGTTTCTTCGCGTGCCCGACTCGCTCTTTCCCCTCCCAGAATGAGGTCATGGGGAGCCATCCCTCCAGCCCGCCGGGAAGCACGCTGGGAACTGTAGTCTCTGCGCCCCGTTCCGCCTCATCGCTCTCTCGTCTGCTGTCGTCCATTGGCGTGGCGGCGCGGGCGGAGCATGCCGGGAGTCGTAGTTCTGGGCGGCCGGCGTCAGCCCGTCACCCTTGGGAAGAAGGAACTACAAGTCCCAGGGTCTCACAGCGGCAGCAGGTGGGAGCTTGGATGTTGATATCAACATGGCGCTTGTCAGACAGACAAAGACAGTCAGTCTGGTCTGATTGAGCCCAAAAGGGAGCAGGAAGGAGCGGGAGGGGCTTTTCCTCTCCCTGGTGCGGTCCAGGAGAAGCCGGAGCTGGGAGCCCGAAGCCTTTTGCACCCCCAGGAGCTTCCTCCTTCATTTCCTCTGCAGACCCCCTTAAAAAAAAACACAAACCCCTCCTTGCTTTTCGCATTGGGAGCCACCCCCCAACTTCTGCTCTTCAATGGTCAAGTGGAGAGAAAGCAGCCAGCACCCAAAGGTGAGCGAGGTCTGTGCGGGCGAGGGCGCGATCTGGGCAGCTGTGGGCGGGGGGCACCACAAGTCCCCTTGCAGAAGGAAAGCAGTGGGTGGGCTGGCTTTTCCCCCTTTTGTTTTGGTCTGGTTGCAGGAATTCGATTTCGCACTTGGGAGTAAGTGTGTTTGTGCGGGGGCGGGGGAAAGGTGCCCCTTTAAAAATGCTTCTCAAGTGACTTAGTGAGGTTGCACGAATTTGGAGTCGACGGAAGAGGGGAAAAGGGGGTTTTTTCCCTCACTCTCAGAGCTGAAATGGAAGAAGAAATCCCCTCTAAGCTGGCGTGCTGTGATTATTTTTATTTTGGTTTTGGTAGGGAAGTTTGGAAACACAGCGATGTTTGCTTCCCTTTCTTTCCCCTTGAACTGTAAGCTGTTGATAGTGTCGGCAAAGAGACAGAGACGAAATGCCTCTTTGGGTGCCTACGCAAAACCACTTATCACAGATTGGCTAGCTCACTTTAGCCACCCTTTTGGTGCCCAGACAGACCGGCAGGGAAGGCTGGGTCCCCCCACAGTCTTTTTGAAGCGGATCAAGTTGACATTGTGCTGATCTAATGGAGAGATGGCTAGTTTAGAAAGAAATGGTGGTGGCACTTCTAGATTAATGACCCCAAAGATGAAACGATGGGTGTGAGATTGCCTGGCTTTTAGTTGAGGATTTTTCCAAGCTTCTGGAAATGTTGGAGCACCATATCAGAGCTTGGGTGATCTTAGCATTAAGTGTAGCTTATTAGAGCCACCCTGGTTTGACAGGATGGTTTTCCAATAAATGGGAAATGTGTTCTCCTGTAGGTCAAGGTGGTGCTCCCTTAGGGCATGAGAAAAGTCAGACGGAGCTAAGGGAGGGCAGACGTGCAGGTTTCCCATGTTCCGTGTGAACAACATGAGAATTTTGGCATGTGCAAAATGTGGGGTTATACTGCTGGTTTGTCAGGATAATGGGGCGGCTTGCTCTTGCTACTTAACTGCTGGGGTTTGCTGGATAATATGACAGTGTGCAAAAGAGATTATGTTGCCTAGTGAAGGCACAGACTTTTTGATGATCCTGCAGAGTGCTTGTTTTCCTCAACTGGGTGGTGTCTCCCCCTCCCCACCGCCTTCAGAGTGCCTGAAATGGGGAATGGGTATAAAAAGAAGAAAAGAGATCTAGTTTCATCAGTGGTCAGTTTTGCCAGGGAATTGATCCCAGTGCTGATGTAAGGCAATTGATGCTTGAATTACAGGCAGCTTTAGCCGCTCCTTTAGTAAAACTGAGCTCTTGGCTCTAACTGAACTTTAATAGTTCGGTTGCCTCCGTTTCACTAAAACCAGTTGTCTGAACCTGAGTTATGGGTCAGCGTGTGTGCATGTGTTTTTACACACACTGTTTGTGCCAAAGAAGCAGATATCGTGGGCTTGTTGTTGGCTTTTCAAGTGTGATTCTGATGAGAATTTCAGTGTGCAAAATGTGCACAGGTTGTGCAGAAGCATGCGGCTTGTTTCCCAGGGAAGTGGCTGATGGTCTTTGGCACAGGGAGCAGTTGTACAGCGGAGGCGCTGGGGTGTGCCTCCGGCTCTCTTGCAGGTTGGGGGCAGGAGAGGGGAATGACTCCCCTCTCAAACGGAGCGGCATGACAGTCTGCTGGGGAAATGCACAGGAGAGTTCAATAGGAACCACAACAATGTACGGATTTGAGGCAGCATATGCTCATATATGGCCCGCTTTGTGTACGGAGCTGCTGCATTCTCCGTTTGCAGGGCTTGTTGCAATATCTCGGTCACTTAACACTTGGTGCAAAAGCTTGACAGTTTTTGAAAACTCCTGCCCCTGTTTCTCAGGAAGTTCAAATCCATCATGCTGAAAAATCTTCCCAGATGCAAGGATGGTGTGAAGAGGGGAGTCATTGAGGTTCTCTGAGTTTGCACCTCAGAGGTGCTGGGTGCTTCCAGACAGAGGGTTCCTAGAACTACCAGTGAAAAGCCATTCTGCCTCCAGTTGGGCTTTTCTTCTTTTCTAGTAGGAACAAATACAGGAGAAGTGATGAGAAATCATGGGTGGGTTGCAGGCAGAAGTGATTGCCATCTGGACCCCCTGTAAAATCTCATGAATGGGCTGGCTGATGGCAGGTTAAAAGTCTCCCCTGAAAGCAACCTTAGTTTCAAATCTAGGACTGCGCAAGTTTCCTTGGGCAACTTCATGGGAGCAGATACAGTGTCGTGCTTAAGTGACTGAACTGTTAATTAGGAAGGCTTGTGGTCAGATCCTGTCCTGGCCATAAAATTACGAAAAGCACAGTGTTGTGCTGGCAGTGCAAATGGAAGTTTCATGGAATGCAGTTAGGAATTACTCCCCGGTAGTGGAGACAGATGAGTGCCGTGCCTGCCTCAGACTCAGCCCTTCCCATCCGTGTCATAAGGTTAGCAATGCTGACCTACCTTAGAGGTTGTTGGAAATAATGCATGCGAACCACCAGAAGCTCTGTGCAAATGCTGCATTTGGAATTCTCTCTGCCCGTGATGATGTTTTTTTGTGTCTGTGAAGAACATTTAACCAAGCTCGTGCCATTTTTAATGGTTAACTTGAGATCTCCTCATGTTACTGTGGGTTTTCATTTCAGCTTTAATTGTTTTAATGAATTTTGTGCACTCCCTTGAAATGCATTAATGGAGGGTGAATATAAAAGCAACAGTATTTTATTGTAATGGCATTGCTGTTTTTGCGATCTCTGTCCCCATCCCTACATGGGAAGGTGAAACCTGATCTCTACAGGTATTCTAAATAAACCATTTGGGGAAAAAAAGTCCTCTTTGTGTTTCAGTGAATTATAGAGGAGGAAACCAATGAAGCCACTTTTGTGGAGGGTTCGTCCTTCCTTCCTTATTATAGCATCATCATGCCTAGATGGGGACAGCTTTCCTTGATGGTGCTTAAAAGGATCCCCCTGCAGAAGGGCATTGGGTTTCCCCACTGAAGTTTGGGTTGCTTCTTTATGGTGATGCAAAGGATTCTGGTGTCAAAGAATGCTAAGGGAAGCTCTCCAAATTTAAGTGGAAAACCCCAGCTTGCTTGCATGGGGTTGGCGATTCTTCAAAGACCTACAAATCTTTGGTCTTTCTCTTTAGTATAATGAAAGTTGTGTGTAAGAGTGTGCACATATCTGTAGGGTCACATACATTGAGAGAGGGAGAGAGAGAGAGAGAGGGTTTTGTGAATAGAATCCATGTTTTGAATTAACCAAGGAACGAAATCTAAGTTTCTGGAGGGATCTGTAAAACTAGTTTGGCATTGTGTTTCGCTCTGTGATCATGTGGACCTACAGGGCTACAAAATCAGATATTATCTGCTCTGGCCTTCCCCTGTCCACGCAGGCTGGTTTTTCAGCCCACCTATCCAGAGGGCCCTGTCCAGAGTGTGTGTTTGGATCGTCAGGAGTTTCCACCCAATGCAGTTTGCAGTGGCTGCAAAAATGGCCCGTATTGGTCATATTCAGCAGTGCTGGGCTGAACAGCCAAGACTTTTCACCGGCAGCTCATTGCTGGCGAAAGTCTGTTGGGAGCTGTTTGAACAACAAGTTAGCCCTGAACTCAACTCACTTACAAAGCTTGTTAACGAGTGAAGATGTTTCCTCAGCCTTCGGAGATGTCCTCAAGCACTATTGTTTTCCGAGCTGCCTCGAAGCTTCCTTTTTGCCAGGCTTGTGGGGAAGAGAAAAACATTTCTGATGTCTTGGAAGGCGGTGGGCAAAGCCAGCTAGCCAGGGCTGAGTTTTGCAAATCGTAGCGGTGTGAATCTCTCTTGCTGCCTGCTTCTGAATCCTCTCGAACCCTGGACTAAAGGCTGGCTTCTCTGAAATGTCGGAACCTGCTTCACGCCGACAGGCCTCAGAGCTGTGTAGGGTGGGCAGCCTCTGACTCTTCATTATTCCCAGCCCAGCCACCTCCGGATGTACTGGGCTGCGAACAGCAAGGGATGGCTCAAGGTGGTGGAGCTGAAATCTAATCCCTCTGGAGGGCACCAGGTTGGGGAATCCTGCTTTGTGTATCTTCTGCTGCATTTTAGAATATGCCGACCTCTTCCGTAAGAACAGAGGCAGAGCCCTCTTGGGGCAAGCCGAAGGTCCATCTTGTTCGGCAGCATCTTTCCAGTGGTCCATTCCCTTCTCTTATTTATTAGATTAATAGTTTTTGCTTATTCATTAATAAGCATTAGTAATTTAGTTGATAACAGTGATTATCCCATCTGTATTTATGTCACCTTTGCTAGAGCCCCCTTCCCCAGTCTTTGAGTCATCACGGCTTTCCCAAAGAATGAAAAGGGCGGGCAGATTCTGCCACTCAGAGATCCCCAGTCCATCCGATGCTGGTTCAAAGCCCTTATTGGTACCGCACACTCTCTCCACTCCCCTTCCCCTCCATG